CTCGGTGAACCAAGGAGCCAGTCGAGATCTATGCCGGGTCAGAGGCCGCAAAGGCACGACTCGGTCTAATGCTGCGGCAGCGGTCGTTTCCCAAGCTGCCGCCTGATCTTCCGCCGAGCCATGAACTAGATCCTCCGGATATGGCCCAAGCTCCGTCAGGAACCTAGTGGGGTCCATCAGTCGCCTGGGACGGAACCATATCTCTCCCCGCATAAAGATGTGGGGAGAGATAAATGGAAGCAATAATTCAGGCTTTGAATGGAAACATTTCTCTACTTAGAAAGAGGCCCAACTAAAATATAGAGGAGTATCTTGTAAAAAAATATCTGCTGTCTCTCCACAAACAGCAATTTCTCACAATGTTGTATTCAAGTGAAACACTTTTTCTTAATAGCAGCAGAATATTTAAATCTGAACAAAACAATTAGCTTTAATACTTACCCAGCCCCAAATAGCTATTCTATCCTTATCAACAAAGCTCATTTCAGAAAATAGCCTAAGAAAAAAAACAACAGAAAAATTCACATACTCAGAAAAATCTTATCTTATTCTTCTTTGCAACAACAACCTCCTTTCCCACTCCAACCTTGCTCCTTGGAGAATACGTGTATTAAAATGTAATACATAAATATTAATATTCAATACTTATTCCAAACAACTTTTTTTTCCTGTTTCACTTTTTTTTTAATAACTGGAGTACCAATAAAGAACAAAAGGAAGGAGAAAGAAGGCTACTGGGGTTAGAAATAGAAGAGAAATTAGTGTATTTGTGTGAATCAAATTTTCATTTTCAAACTGACATATGAATCTTAACCCGACTACCCATCAAAATTCATTTCTCTGAAAGTTACAGTCCAATTCATCAATCAAAAAAAGGAGGGAACATTAAGGAAAGGCCTGCGCAAAAATGTTTATATCATGCAAATACAGTAATTAACTATGTTATATGTTAACTGTTTGCAAAAACTGTGTATTAGGTTAAAAAAAAAGGTTTACTGTAAGTTTGGAAACTTTTTTTTTTTTTTAAAAAAAAACCCAAGCTTTAGATTAGTATAAGGAGAGGGTGATAAAAGTTAGTGAACAGAAAAATGAGAAATGAAGAAAAACCAAGGCTAAAAAATTCAGCAAGAAGGAGAATCATTGGGAGAAATCCAGTCAAGGTGTTAACCATCCTAACCAAGGCAATAAGGCACAAACATACTTGGCTGCTGAGATCTGATCTTCGACTTCATAGGTTCCCAGTCTTCGGTATATCGCATGCAAAATTTTATCTCCTTGGAAGCCGCTTCCCCTACCATCGAAGCTCGCCACAATAATCCCTTCGGAGCTTGCCAGATACGTAGACCAGTTGATCCGGAAGGCAGCATCTGCTTTCTGACTACAAGGCCCTGCATACCTGTGGAAAGAAAGTTGGCTGACTTGACCCAGGCTGTGCTCTATTTGTTCTGCATTTTCCAAATTCTTATATAAACAGGGACTTTGGTTGGAACAGAAAATGTCCAGCAGCCCCTTCTTCATCTGAGTTTGCCACAAACATTGTAATAATAAAACTGAGATTCAGGCCCATCAAATGTATCTTGATGGTAGGCTGGATTTTGTATTTTCTTATCATTGGTCTGGCTTTAGCTGTATTGAATGCTTATTTCACTATACACAAATATGGCTGGAAATTCAAAAGCAGCAATATAGACAGCAATTTAGGTTAAAATTAATACGTTCTAATAAGAATGGTATTTACAAAGAAGGCTCTAGATGGAGAAAATTTAACCAAAGCACAAAAATGATATGAAATGAGATTGAATCATATTATGTTTTTCTGGCGTAATCAGAACTCTGTGGTATTTTAACTTCCATTTAACTCTCTCCATTGAATTATTTCCATCATTGTCTTGTAAAATAATGAGATTTTTTTAAAAAAACTTCCTTCCTTTATAGTTGCTGTGGAACTTTGTTTAACTTAGAGCATATCCAATAGGAAGTCAGCAATATCCCCCCCCCCCTTCTCTCATGAAACACAGTGAGTAACTTTGGACCATCCTAATCTAATTTATTGTGGAGTTGAGGATAACCATGAAGCTCCTGGAAGAAATCTCAAATAACATTAAATGCTCAGGACTAAGTCCCGTCGATTTAAATTACTGCCCATAGAGATAGTTTCAATCTATATTTTCTACATTCCAACTCTCATTTCATCACCCTGGGCCTTTGTGCGAATACAGCAACACTGAGTTTAAGCTGCAAGGATTTGTTTTTGCTTCACTGCAGGAATGTCTCAATATCTCACACCTTTTCACTTTTTTCCATAATGGAAGGCATGGAATGCTCAATTATTCATTTTCCAAATATTGATTGGCATTGTGACATTTGCTAACAGACTACTGCCTTATCCAGAACATTCAAATGCCAATCAGGTCTTGCATCAAAGCCCAGCAAACATAATTAATAGCTTTTGAGGTGCTGCTTGAGAGTGCTGCTCTTGCCTGTAGCTACTGGGGCTCCTACAGCACTTACAGCCATGGACCACACAGTTGCTTGCTCAGTTCCTCACTGAATACTCTTAGTTGACAATATTAACATTTCTGGGATATATGAAGAGCAAACATTGTTAATCAGCTGCCCAATGATATCTCCCCAAATGGAAGTCCCTACGTTGATGCCAGACACAATGTTGATCAGGTGCAAGATGGCAGCTCTGTGACTCAGATCAGAAAAGCTTGTTCAGAATGAGGAGGCACAGCATCCTTTTCAAAGTATTAAAGCAGCTGCGTCCTGTAGAAGGCTTGCATGGATGCTTCAAAGCCTGTCCTTGGTGGTGCCTGTCCTTGGTGGTGTATGTACTCATGCAACGAAGAATCTGTACCTACATATACAGTTAATGTACAAACGCTATGGACAGCCTTCAAGGCAGTTGCCCTTCTGAAAGATGCAGCTGCTTTAATGCTTTGAGGATGCCTACTTTACTACTGTTAACAAAAGCTGCAAACTCCTCTTTCAATGTTTTTCGCTGCTCTACTCTTTAATAAAGTGATCAAGGGCAAAAATGAAGAGGTCTGTTTTTTTCAATAGATCTGAAGGCTAATTATACATCATCTGAAGAATGTACATAATTGAAAACAGATAATCTCTGAACCGTGGCCATGTTCATGTCCCCCTGCGTACTACCCTAAAATCCAAATGCTAATCTTCAATAAATTTAAACAACATACTAAGATCCCCTTTTGCTGTTCAGAATTTTAATAAGTCTTTGATCATTACAGCTAACTGAAATTTTTAATTAGTAAAATGATTAATAATTCTAATGATAATTATATAACATTATGTTTAAAATATGAACAGGACAAAGGGAAGTTAAATGCTTGCAACTACTGTATGCTACATTCCTTGCACAATCAATTTTCACCAAATACAGAATATTTGCATTTTATTTACTATAAAAAGCAAATTTCTGTAATTTGCAGATTACAGGAAGAAGCTAATTAATGCAAATCCTTTAATATGTGCAGAGGAGTGTGAGGGAGGAATAGCATCAACAGCATATGTTCAGGATCCAGGAAATGTGCCTTCTTTGTTATATTTCTTAAATTATATTTGCAGGGTCAGGTTCAGTAAAGAACGTATGTGTACGTGTACAGTAAAACTGGTTTATGTACGGTACAATTGTCGAATCCACATTTTCCTAATAGTAGCTATCCTTCGGCCATTGTTTTTATTTAACTGCAAACTGTACAGTAGTCCTAACCTGATTTATATACTGATTTATTTAAATAGGCTCAGCAACGTATGTTGAGATTTAACAGAAACATAGATAAGATAACCTTTATTGTCATTTTTTACTGTGAGCACACTGGCCCACATTAAAAATGAAATTCTGTTGCCTGCTCTCAAAAGGAAGTATATACTACCCATACACATTCATAACACACACACACACACACACACACACACACAATGAATGAAGAGGATGTATTGCTCAAGACCAGTTGCAGCATCCTGCAGTCCCATGATTGTGATTTGTGCCTTTTTTTCACAAATTCCTGGTTTCCAGGGGGAAAAGAAGCCCATTTGGGGGAATGGATTTATTTAATGGCCACATGATTTGCTTAATGATGTTTCACTTTATGGCTGTCATAAAAACAGTCATAAAATCAAGTCAGGTCACATGGTGTTCTGCTTAATGACTGCAACAACTGATGATGGAAATTCTAGCCTCAGTTGTGGTCATTAAGTGAGGACTATCTGTATCTCATTGGTTGGAACAATTTGAAGACAATGAAGGCAAGATTTTTGAGGGATTGTCAAAATATGTGGCATGATGCAATTGCCTTTGTGCCTGATGCATATATGTAAGAGTGAGGTTTGCCTTTTAACATCATTGTGACTTGTTCAGAACAGGGCAGCCTTAACGATCAGTGCAGTTTCTGAACAGCCACTAGATGGCACCAGTGAAACACAGAAAACTCTTTGCTGATCTTTAACAATGGTTTGGCTTTTTATAACCTATATCTGATGATCCTATTTCTGATAACTCTTTTCTATCTCATAAATTAATTGTCATCATGATAATTTGCAGAGCAACAGCCAAATCAAACTCTTCTGGTAAAGGCAATAAGTCTTGAAGCACCTTAAAGTCTTAAATGTTTGTCAATGAAATTGCTTAGAAATCTTTTTGTTGTTATACTGCCAGCTCTTTTTCTTCTAATCTTACTAGTGCAAAGCTGTTGCTTGTATTTATCTGATGACTCCATCACAGCCCTCTGAGAGAATATGAAACCAGATGCCAATAGGTTCCTCTTCTTCCTCAACAGTAATTTATTAGCAACAATGCCTTCTGGGTGGAAGAAATGGGCCATCAGCCCGCTGAATGATGGCTTGCATCTCCCTGAACTGTCTGCATCCAAGCTGGTTCTCAGGGGGACAATCTGTAGCACTTAGAACTGAGATCTAAGTAAACCAGTTTGGCTAAACCTGTCTTGCTTTTTAAACCTTTGTACAGCACCCACGAAGCATTAGGCAGATAATACATAACAATAAACATCACTGGTAACATGAGCATAAAGAAAGGTAAAAAGGTAGTTTGACTTACACATCAATGAGCAAGGGATACTTTTTGGACTCATCAAAATTAGGAGGCAATATCATCTGATACCAGTATGCTGAAAATAAGAAGAAAAACATGAAAGCAAACAAAAACATGAAATATGCATTAATTCTGCAGCCAAGAAATTAAAAGACGCTTGCTCCTGGGGAGGAAAGCTATGGCAAATCTAGACAGCATACTAAAAAGCAGAGACATCACCCTGCCAACAAAAGTGTGTATAGTCAAGGCCATGGTTTTCCCAGTTGCAATGTATGGCTGTGAAAGTTGGACCATAAGAAAGGCTGAGCGCCAAAGAATTGACACCTTTGAACTATGGTGCTGGAGAAGATTCCTGCGAGTCCCCTGGACTGCAAGGTGATCAAACCTGTCAGTCTTAGAGGAGATCAACCCTGACTGCTCTTTAGAAGGCCAGATCCTGAAGTTGAAACTCAAGTACTTTGGCCACCTAATGAGAAGGAAGGACTCACTGTCTTTTTCACTAAATAAAAAAAAAAAAAAGAGAAGGAAGGACTCACTGGAGAAGGGCCTAATGCTGGGAAAGATTGAGGGCAATAGAAGAAGGGGACGACAGAGAATGAGGTGGCTAGATGGAGTCACTGAAGCAGTAGGCATGAGCTTAAATGGGCTCCAGAAGATGGTAGAGGACAGGAAGGCCTGGAGGAACATTGTCCATGGGGTCGCGATGAGTCGGGCACGACTTCGCAACTAACAACAACAACAATGCATTAATAGTTATAAAGAACAGTTAGCTTGAACTAGGAAAGGCAGGGAGAGAGACAGGAACTGGAAAAGTTCTACAGCAAGAGTGTCAAACTGCTGGCCCGCCAGCCGATTTCATCATACCGAAGCCACACCCACCCCATTGCCGGCAATGCAAAGAGTCGCGATACATCACGACACGTCACATGACATGGCGAGTTTGACACCCATGTTCTACAGGATCAAAAGCTTGCACTACAGTAATAGGAAAAGACTTCCGCCTGCAAACTTTTGCTAGATAAAATTAATTGCTATGGTGTTAATTACAATAAAAGGAAAGGCTTTATGAAATCTTGAATGTTTGAACATCACTTCAACTAAAAATCCAGGGAAAACATGACCATAAAAAAATCCCCAAAGCACATTCAATAGTCAAATTAACCTCTGATACAATCTTACATCAGAACCAGCAACTGTGATTCATTTCAATTCCCCCAGTGAGCATGTGTGGACAGATCTTCATGGTGCAATAAGCTTGCTAATTCTATAGTAAGCCTTGCATTTGCATCTCAACTAGGATCAACTAGGAAAGAGGTATTAAGTACTTCATTTTCCAGAGGTTGTTGGAACAAATTTAGAAAGGCTGAATTTAGAAAGTGCTGAGGCTTATGAGAGATCCCAAAACAACAAAAAGCTACATTAGAAATAGGAGGAAGGCCAAAGAGATTGTAGATCTATTGTTATGAAAAATGAATTAGTAATGGATGATGCAGAGAAGGCAGAGCTTTTAAAGTCCTATGTTGAAATTATCTTTTCTCAGAAAGGAACAGGAATGAACTTATTCTCTCTTGTCCCAGAGGACTGGATCAGAACAAAGGGTTTAAACTACAGAAAACTGAATCAGACTAGACATCAAGAAACCCTTCCTGACAGTAGGAGCTGTCAGATGGTGGAGTGTCACAAGACATGGTTAGTTCTCCTTCGCTCAAGGTCTTCTGATGGAATTGTATGGTCATCTGTTAGAGATGCTGTACTTGATCTGTGGTCTCTTCCAGCTCTCAGATTCTATGATAATACATTAGACAATTAATGGACAATGATTGTGAAGGTTGAAATCTGTACACATTTCCATGCAAGGAAATGTCTTTGACCTCCATAACTTTCAGTGTTATACTCATTTATCATAGAAATCCTCTGAAAGAATTGGCTGCAGAAAAGTACAGTTACTCCACATTAATCAAGGCTCACAAATAGCGTAGCTGTTGCGGCAGCTGAATAAGGGGACTAGAATGAAAAACTAGACCAGGTGCTACTTCCCTCGCATCGATCAGGCAAATGGAAAACTACATACAGGTAGTCCTTGACTTATGGCCACAACTGAGCCCAAAATTTCTGTTGCTAAGCAAGCCAGTTGTTAAGTTAGCTTTGTTCCCTTTTAAGACCATTCTTACCACAGTTGTTAAGTGAATCACCACAATTGTTATGTTAATAACATGGTTGTTAAATGAATCTGGCTTCCCCAATGTCTTTGCTTGTCTGAAAGTCACAAAACATGACACATGATCCTGGGACACTACAACCATTATAAATACACGCCAGTTGCCAAGTGTCCAAATTTTGATCACATGATTATGGGGATGTTGCAATGGTCGTTAAGCATGAAAAGCAGTCATAAGACACTTTTTTTCAGCGCTGTTGTAACTTCAAACAGTCACTAAACGAATGGTTGATACTACTAATATTCCATTCAAATAAAACACTGCAAAATTAGCCAAAAACAAGTCACCTTTTGAGAACAATTTCAAATAGGCTTTCTCCAAATGCCAATTTCTCTTACAGCCAGTTTTGTGTTGCGTTATCACCTGGGAGGCACGGTGTAGTAGGGAGAAAGAAAGGGAAGCATCTCTTGAGGTCTTCCATCAGTTTGAAGGCAGCCCTGCGCTTTATACAGCATGAAAAAGGTCAGATCCAAATGCTGTTTGTTTCATACTTTATTCACTGATGTTTTAATGTTTCTCTTTTATTTTCTATTTTGAATGATTACTAAATTATATTTTATTTGGGGGAGTGATGTTTGTGTTTCTGTTTTTTTTTTAATATCAACAGAGGGTGCTATGACACTATTATTTTGGTTCATAGCCTCTCCCGCTGGTGAAAAAAATGATGCCTCTTTTTTGAACAAAGGAAAGAAGGAAGTTGCTTTTTCTCATTATTCCAAAGTGAATGGTGGGGGAGAAAGGTACCATCTTTTTTTTCTCATTAGTAACAGAAGCTATTAATTAAGAACAGAATTCTCTTTACTAAAGAAAACAACAACAACAGCAACACTGCAAAGAAGTTGCACCCTTCCAATAAATGGGGTGGCTGGCTGGCTGGAAAGATGCTATGGTTGAAGGCATGGATACTTGAAGAGAGTGAATAGACTGGGAGGAATCAGGAGGGACTGGGAAAAGATGATGTTTGAGGTGACAAGGACAAATTCCAGTAGAAAAAGAAGAAGCCAAGCTCCACACAAAGAGAGTTGATAAGAAAGAGACAAAAAGGAGGGAATCGCAATATTTTGGAATGGGAAGGAAGGAAGGAAGGAAGGATTACATTTTGTTTGGATGGCCTCTTGATAATATGCTGCATTCTTGTCAAATTGAGAAGGAAGGGAAAGGGAAAGGGAAAGGGAAAGGGAAGGATTGGTTTTTAGTAGTTAAGGCACCAGGCTAGAAAGTCCCACCTTAGCCATGAAAGCCAGCTGGGTGACTCTGGGCCAGTCACTCTCTCTCTCTCAGCCTTACTCATCTCTCAAGGTTCTTGTTATTGTGGGAAAAGAGGAACAGGAAGGTGTGTTGGATATGTTCACCATCTTGAGTTATTTGTAAAAAAAATGAAATAGAAGGAAGGAAGGAAGAAAGGAAGGAAGGAAGGAAGGAAGGAAGAAAGGAAGGAAGGAAGGAAAGAAGGAAAGAAGGAAGAAAGATTTGGAGATGGGTGAGTGAGACAACTTTCTAAGCACAACATTCAACTGCACTGCCAGGCGGGTCCACAGCCTCACTTTCTGCCCTTCTGAATTAAGGCAAATGTTTCAGAGCAACCATTATTCTTATGTGTTGCTGACTGTACTGACCTTCCCAGTCCAAAGTGCAAGCTGAAACTGATAGGTATCAGCATGACAATAATCAGAATTGCACTCAGGCTACAGATGTCACATATCCTGAATCAGCACACCTGAAATGGTTTACAGCCTCTAAAGTAGGAATTCATGGAGATAGCAAGAAAAAGATAATCCTGGTTACAGCAATGCTGGCTGAGCAAGCTGCTTGGTCTTTATTTACAATGTCTCATATTACAAATTCTTAAACCTAATGGCTCCTTTCCTGTTACGAATCACAGAAGAAAAAAAATTCTGAGGCACTGTTGATAATAATGAAGAGCTGCAAACATTCTTTTCATTCAAAATTATGGTTTCAAAAAGCTACGTAAATATACTGTTTTATTCAACTTTTAAAAATGATTTACTTCCTTTTGTTTCAACTTGCAAACTTACTTTGTCCATGCAGAGTAATATTTCTCAGTCTTTTGCAGGGCATCTGAATGTCTTTCAATACATTTTTCAACTTGTCGTTATCTTCTAGGGTCTTAATAGCTAGGATTAAAACAGGTATATTTGATAAGTTATAATCAAAGAATTAAAACAATTTGGAGGGCTGGTTTTAAAAATCAATTACTTAGAGGGCGGTGCTCATCTCTGCTTCTTAGTTGAGGGAGCCAGTGTTGTCCGAAGACATTTCCATGGTCATGTGGCCAACATGACTATACACCAAGATGCACGCAACCTTCCCACTGAAGTGGTACCTATTTAATCTACTTGCATTTGCATGCTTTCGAGTTGCTAGATCAGGGGTGTCAAACTGCCGGCCCGCAGGCCGGTTTCATCATACCGGAGCCGCACCCACCCCATTGCCGGCAATGACAAAATAGTCCCGATACGGCTCGCGGCGTCACGTGATGTCGCGAGTTTAACATGTCTGTGTTAGATGGTCAGGAACTGGGGCAAATAATGGGAGTTTATCCCATTTTGCGGCACTTGGGCCTCGAACCCGGGCTCTCAACTTTCCAGCTGACAAGCTCAACATCTTTAATCGCTAAGCCATTGTGCCTCCTATCTAGGACTTACTTCCTAGTAAGCATGCGTAAGAGATGATTGATGAAAAAAATGCCTCTGATTTCAAGCATTAATTACAAGCAAGGAAGGAAAAAGAAGAGCAAAAGACACACACTTAAATCAACAGAAAGAACAATCCAAATTCGTTTCCACAAATATATTTCTTTTCATACCAACTGGAGTGTTTCTCAACAATGCTGTAACATTCAAGAACTAAGTAGCACCAGCTCAAAAAATATGAGCTCAGCTGGCAACAATCTCAGCTTGTCAGAATTGCTGCACAAAGAAGGGATTTTTTTCTAAAAAAAATCACAGCCTCTTGTCCCAGATCCGTACCCTTTTGTCAGCTACTATTAGAAATTTGATCTTCTTGCAATATGTATACACAGACACATAGACACACATGTATCAAACTCTGTGTGTATCTCCCTGTATGATGGGAAAAATGAACTGTATGTTTTCTTCCTGTTTTATACACATACATACAAACTCTTATCATTTTTTTCTCATTGAGTTATATAAATTATAGTGACATATCAGATTGATGCCTTTAACACAACGGTTACGGCTTCTTAGTAATGAATCTCATTCTACCCCATGGATCTACTTCTAACTGATGTGCATTAGAAAAAAAAACCCAAGCTTTCTTAAACTGGTGCCCTGCAGACATGCTAGGCTAGAAGTCCCATTGTTTACAGCCAAACAGAAATTTGAGTTGCTGTCAGGTGTGATGGGAACTGAAGTCCAACACCTGTACGGCACCCAACTGGGGGTGGTCACTGAATTACATCACCAAAGTGTAATCTCATGCATTCATATCAGAAATAAAGCTAATTATGTACAATTGATCTTACTGCAAGATATGTATGGATAACATATTACAAACGCTAAATCACAAATATCCCAGAACAGACATGCATTCCCACTCTTCCAGAAGAGGAAAAATTTAAAATAAAATACCTTTGTCTGTAATGCTGTTTTGCAAGGTGAAGTAGGGCAGGTCAGGACCTGTTATTCGCAGAGTGTTAAAAAAAAATCCAATTAATTAAGCTAGCTTTTCACTGAAGTTAATTTTATTCCAGTTATTGCTATTTCTTTCTTTCTTTGTCAATGTGTTTTGATTGAGATGTTCTTATGTTTTGCATTTTATTCTGCATTTTCTTCCTTTGCAATTTTTATCAATGATTTAGTGGAAAGATTATTTAATGGGGTACTCATAATCCATAAATATATTTAATCCATAGATATATTTAAAATAAATGAATGAATAAAAAGTGCATTCAATTGAACCCACTAATACCAATACTAATTTTATGATTTTGGAATAAGCTGGTCACTAGTGTATCTTTTTTTTCTGCTCTGTACACAAAAATGCCCCTGTACACAAAAATGCTTTCTCTTCAACAAATTAATACTAATAGTAATATCAGCTAATAAGCTGGAAACTGGAGGGTGGGGTTTTTTTTGTCTTTCTGTTCTGACCAACCAAAAATCAGTTTTTTGTTCTTCACATCTGTTGTATGGATGTCCAAAGCACAGTGTAGTTGTTAGAACAAGGACCTCAAAATCCTGATCCAACGGCAACATATGGCCCATATTTTCTATCACCTCTGTCTTACTATTGCAAACAGAATAACAGAGATGGGAGGGACCTTAGAGGCCTTCTAGTCCAAGTCCCTGCTTAAGGCAGAGACCTTATACCAGGGGTAGGCAACCTTGGCTCATTTATGATTCGTGGACTTCAACTCCCAGCTATGCTGACTCAGGAATTCTGGGAGTTGAAGTCCACGAGTCATAAAAGAGCCAAGGTTGCCTACTCCTGCCCTATACCATTTCTGACAAATGGTATATCTGTTCTTAAAAATATCCAGTGGTGGAGCAACTTGCCAATCTTGATTGGCTGCTTATGGATCCTCCCTGTTAAGAAGGAAGTGTGACTGAGCTCATAGCCCTACACCGTGGTGCCATCACATCAGGAAGAAGGCGGTGTGGGTGTGGGTGTGGGAAATCCCTGCTGCCTTTAAACTTCCTCCCAGCACCAAGAGGAGAAAGAAGGACAGGCCAGCAAAGACAGCCTCCTTGCACTCTGCAGCTGTTCAGGTGGAAGAGAAAGGCTGCTTTGGGAAATGTGAGAAGCAACAATAGTAGCAGGGGCAGCAAATTCCAACAAATGTGGGTAGGAGAGGAACATGTCTCCCAATACAAGGGTGGGTGGGTGGAAAGTCATCTCCACCTATGTGTCAGGAACAAGAGTGCTCTCCTAATGCAACTTCTGCAGCTGCCCTCTGCTGCTAGTGACTGAGGTAAAGAAGCTGCCATATTCTCAGTATAGTTCTCCCTCCAGAGATCTCTGTGTTTGTGTGTGTGCGTGCTAGAACAGCAGCGGCCTATCACATTCTGGTATTACTCCCCCCACAGACATCTCAAAGAGTTTGTCCCTGCTTGCCTCTCTCCATAAACAATATTCCTACAAAGTATATGGGGATAGTCAATATCATTTTACTTCTTAATAGTAAATATTCAGGCATACTGGACTCTTTTACGGGCATAAATTCTACCAAATCGCAAATGATTAGATTCAACAGTTTTATGTTGTCATTCAACAAGGGCCAAACCAACTGCTTCTGTTCTGGTTAATGCTGCCAAATAAGCAACCCAAGTGGAATGGAAGAAAAGTAGCTCTGTTTTCGAGTAGGTCTTTTAAAAATAACTTTGTTTCATGATGCACTGTGATACCCTTCATTTTTAAACCAGTGGAGACTTTTTCATCAATATATAAGAAGAGCAGAATTGTGGCCCATCTTCTAGTTCTCATGATGATTCCAGTGGTAACCGGAAGTAGGGAGACCTAGCTTCAAACCTTCCCTTGGTCTTAAAGCTCACTGGGTGACTTTGGATCAATCCTTTTCTCTCAGCCCAATTTATATTATAAAGTTGTTCCTCTGAGGCTAGTGGTTTTTTAACAGCATCAGATGCCTTGACTTCTCAGAGTAAAAGCAAAAATAAAAAAGCAATTTTTTTTTTTAAAAAAAAACACACCAAATGGTGATGGCAATGACCCAGGTATCCCAGCTGAAAAAGTTTGTGCTTGTGGCCATCCAAACAACAATAGTTCTTTGAATTGTGGATTGGAGAAGCATCATGAAAATATTAGGATCTTAAGGATCAAGTTGCATTTTCTGTACGGATGGGAGTCTGCAGTACTTACCGTAACAATTCAATTTATAATATCTTGAATCTGTGCTGAAGGATACAGAGAAATACTGACATGCTTCCTCCTTTGAATTACAAGTGATACATATTTTTTTCAGGTCATTTTTTAAGTCCACTCTGCAAAAATGTGGGAAAGAGAAAGGCAGAAGAAATCAGTACTCTACTGCACATCATGAAGGCACACTACTATAAATACTTTTGATTTCAACAGGAGAATTTATCAGTTTTCTTTTCTTTGCATCCCTATGACGGTCAGGATAATTTTTACTTGTGTGTGCCAATGCTTCATGTTTTGTTTTGTTTTTTGTGCCAGCAATGTCATGGTTTACATCTTCAATTTTCTAAAGAGTTTTCTAACAATTCAATTTTATACCCAATTTTTGCTACTCTGAGGGTGGGTTGCTTTTTTTTTTTTTTTGCAAATTACAATGGACATTTTCTCTTTGCTTTCCTTCATATTTAATTCAGATTTGTCTTCTTTTTTTTCTTCAATTGCCTACTTTACCTGCAGTAAACCAAGGGCTCCAGTGTTTTAGTACTAAATATTGTCAATCAACATTATTCCATGGACCCATTATTTCATAGTTTTTCTTATCTAAATAGTTCAATTCAAGCTGTGTCCAATTTACTCCACCATCAGCATATTTGATTACTTGTATCACTCATCATTTATAACTTGTATTTCCGCAATTTAATTTTGAATTTAGAATTTTTATATCATTTTTTTATTAAAAATTTTTATTAATTTTTTCAAATAAAATATGAACAAATAATACAAATATGGTGCATTTCATTAGAAAAACAAGCAACTAAAAAGCCTATTCTGAAATAATCGGCATCCCCCCCCCGCATCCACACTCCCTCCACCTTCCTACCTACTTCCCTCTTCCTTCCTCCCCTCTTGACCACTACCTCTCCTCTTTCCACCTTCCCAACTATCCTACACATCCCATCACCTTCTTTTCCACCACCTCGGATGCAGTTTAGGGGTACTAGCCGATCATCTCCTCTTCTTAAAAACAAACATTTACATTTCATTTATAAATACACCAAATTTTTATAATTCTACCCCTTCATCCCCTTCCCCCTCCCCCCCCGGACTTCCCAGAACTGAGTACAGGGATAAATACATAACATCCCAAATCTAAAGTAAGCTATCCATTCATAATACAAACAAAATTTAACATACTTTAACTCTAACATACAATAATAAACTTAAAAATAATATATATACCGTATATATATAAATTATATTAAATATATAAAAATATTAGAAAAAAAAGATATTTATTCAAAAGCTATATGATAATTAATCACTTCATACTTTCTCTTCATATAATCTATCCATCTTCTCCACACCGAAATAAATTTTTCTTGAGATTGATCCTTCAAGTATGCGGAAATTTTTGAATTTCTATATCATTATCATCACCCTTGTATTAGGGTATTATTTGATTTTTATCCCACAGTGATTATTGTTTATGCTAATTCAGGCATGTCAAACTCGTGACGTCACGTGATGTCGTGCAACGTATCGGAGCTTTTTCTCCATTGCCGGCAATTTTGGGATGACACGTCCGGCCCGCGGGCTGGCAGTTTGACACCCCTGTGCTAACTCAAGGTGGTAAACAAACCTAATCTTCTTTCTTCCTCCTATTTTCCCCACAACAATAACCACGAAAGAGACTGACTGTCCCAAAGTCACCTAGCCAGCTTTCATGCATAAGGTGGGACTAAAACTCATAGTCTCCTGGTTCCTAAGCTAGTATTTTAAACACTAGAGAGAAAGTGAAGGTAGGCAATTCAAAAATGTGAAAAATAAAGATATATGCTATGTATGCTCTGTATAGCAGAACCATAATAAAAAAGCATCTTACTTATAAAGATGTCTTCCTCCTGGTCTACCTTCAAATTCATTACTAATAAAGTATCTGTGAAATAAGCAAATGGATTATTTGTGGATTAATACCTCATCCTGATAATCATTTAGTTTATTGTAATATAAATGGCCTAGGACAATAATACACAAGTAGCTATAAAAGATTAAATGGTTAAGTAATAAAGTGCAATTCTACATGAGAACTGGAAAATACATTATGTTGCAATGAAACTGGAAAAGACATTATGTTACCACAAAAAAGGGAAAGCATCTCATTAAGCAGAAAGTAGTAGGCAAAGGAGAAAGTTTATTGTGAATTTTTAATTTTGTAAGCCACTCCAAGTCATTGTGTATCAGTTGAGAGTGATACAAATGTGTTATATAAAGGAGAAACAAGTGCACCAATTATTTAGCAGACCATTTTCAGCACAGATCTCTAATTCTGACTATCAATTTTTTCCATTGAACCTATAGAGTACCTATAGAGAATATATTAGGTATTTAGCAGTTATAATAAACAAATATTAAATCAGAGGAATGTATTCAACAATTTTAATACGCTTTCCATGGAACATCTCATCAAGAGAAAATATAATAGGTGACTAACTTGTAGGGGAAAAAAACTGGTGAAACATTCCAGGATTTATTTCTTAAATAGCTACAATCTGTTGTTGACTTTATTTAGATTTGTATGCAATGGAGGGGGTGTGTGTTTAAGTATGTTTATGTTACATTATTGCATTTTATGCTTGCTTTGTATTACATCTATAGATTGTACCGTATATTTGTTATACTTATTTGATGATGCGGTGTTGCATTTCCTGATTGCATTGTAATAAAGAGAAAGTATTAACAGTGGGCCCTATGTAAGAAAAGCAGACAATGGGGGAAAGAGAATGGTATTTTCATAATCATGCATAAAAGACAATGTGCCTCACTGCCATTCTATTGCAGAATATTACTCATTGAGCATGGATTATTTTGACATATAGCAGTGTTTCTCAACCTTGACAATTTTAAGGCATGTGGACTTCAACTCCCAGAATTCCACAGCCAGCAATGCTGGCTGTGGAATTCTGGGAGTTGAAGTCCACATGCCTTAAAATTGTCAAGGTTGAGAAACACTGACATATAGCCTTCCAGTTCAACTAAAATTAGTGGCATTTGGGTCTTACTGAAATCTTAAAGCTTAAATTAGTAATGATTAACTTGTCACAGGGAATTCAGTGGGATGTAAAACAACTTCCTTAATGAGATTGGGAAAGAAGATTTATATCTCAAGAGTCACGAGATTTGGGCTTATCAGGAAGACATAAATCAAAGGAAAGGAAGGTCAGCACAATCTGAATAATAGGCAAGGGAGCATAACATTGCCATGCAAAATTTCTTATGCTTCTCATCCAGTCTCAGTTTTAATACGACAGACAAAAGCAGAACAAACAGAAAAAGCTATCTCTAGAAAGAGATGGTTTATGCATTTGTCACACAGGCACATATTCAAAAGTTATCAATGGATACTCACAGGCTGTTATTTGTTACGGCAGCTATACTGATTACTTCCCATTTTCCACTTGTAATAGGTTTAACTTTCTAAGTATAAAGAGTAGATAAAACATGAATCTCCATTAATGTAAGGTTACACATACATACACAAAACAATGTCTACGACAAACTCTGATAACTCCAAAATGATAATATGTATGTAATGACATTATCACAAAAAATGCTTTCCATTATGTCTTATGCAAGTACATAAGCCAGGGGTGTTAAACTGCCGGCCCGTAGGCCGGATGCATCATAGCGAAACCTATTGCCGGCAATGGCAAAAAAAGTCACGATACGTCGTGACATGTCACGTGACGTTGCGAGTTTGACACCCCTGACATAAGCCATGGCATTGAGTGATGACATCACACAGGTGTCATCATTTGTCTCTCTTTGCCCTCCCTTATGAACATCCATGCACAGAGATAAAGAAACATGCACAAATAATCATTACTTACTCCTGCGCTATCAGTGTAGTGAATATGTTTATATCCTTCTGAATCACTGATAATTCTGTAGTAGCTGATTTTATCAGAAGTAAAGTAAGGTTCAGATGGCTGAAACTGCGAAAAAGAAGAATAACATGTTTATAGATGTAATGGTTAATAAATATACTATTTCATAGGTTTATTAATTTTAACCTCTCAGAAAAATACACTGACTATTAGATTTTTGTTCAGGGATTAAAAATATATATTTTTTATTTCCCAAAGAACAAGTTATTCCTAAAGTTTTCAAAATAAATGAGACAAAAGAGATAGGTTTCTATTGTGGCATTGGCTGTTTTTATAGAAAGACTCTTCAGTATGAAACATTAGTGAATTGCAATTACATGGCTCTTATTTCTCTTTTCTTTCATGCACAGGAGGTCTTTAACAGTTTGTTTTTCTTTACTTTTTATTTTCTTTTGTTGTTTTGGTAATATAAGAAATGGAAGGTAATTAATTAAAAAGAAAATAATTTATGATTTGTTGACATATAGACTTTTGAATATTTACAAAGCAATAAATAATTTGAAAGAAGCAAAGAGATGCCAACATTCTAGCTCTGCCCAATTTCATCTTCTCAAATTCTGATACCTGAAAGTTCACAACCACTGAAATTTAATCGAAAGATTCAGCTCAACTGTTCTATACTGAGCATGCTTACTTATGTTCCTCTGCTGAGAAGAATGGCTTGTCCAGTAGCTTTTCTATTAACTGAATGTATCACTGATTTAATACTATTCTGCAATTCCACACATTTTGGAGAGTTGGATCAGTGATCTTCAGCCTTTTTTTTTTGACACAAGACCTAGTTGTTCAATATTTTTACATCTGCAGAAAGTTCACTGTACTACGCAAAGAAATTGTCACTTTTTCTAATTTTTAAATCGATACCGTTGTTACAATGGCTAGGTTTTGGTATTGTCAATCATTAATTATATTTATTAGTGTTAGATTTTAAGTCAAATTTTCTATATAATGTATTAACAAATTTCAAGGAAATGAATTTGTTATTCATAGAAACATATTTAAAAAAAAAAAAGAAAAAAGAAAAGAAAAAATATGTTTGATGTGGCATAAATAAGGCTATGTGAAAGATTTGGGATTTCAAACTTCCTCACACAGGTAGCTTCTTGATCTAGGCAACACTAAAAAGACCCTGCCAAAAGTCTTTTGCCTCTCAGTTACCAGTGCCACCATCTATCTTCTAAAACAGGGGTGCCCAACCCCCAGTCCATGGACCAGTACTGGGCCGTGGCATGCCAGAAACTGGTCCGCATAAACAAGCCAAGCCCCATCAGCGAGATGCAGGCAGCACACAAAACCACGCCCTGTCCGGCCAATGGAAAAACCTCTCTCCACGTAACCGGTCCCTGGTGCCCAAAAGGTTGGGGACCTCTATTCTAAAAGGTCCTTCACCTGTCACTCCCTTAACCATAATCTCTGAAGTATAGGCTCCATTGTCTTACAGCCATCTGATCAGTAAAAAGTAAAAAATTTCTAGAATGCAACATAAAAAGGTTTTCTAGAATAAACACATGACTAGGGTTTAGTCTTTTTCCTCCCCTTTGGAAGAAAGTTCAATTACAAATGAATTATTTGTAATTACAAATAATATATAAGTTTGAATAATAATAATAAATATATAATCAACAAAATCACATCATATTTTTAAAAAATGACTCAAAAATATATTTTTGATCTCACAAATGGGAAGATTTTTTCAAGGTGCATATCAACTAAGAAATAAATAAAGAAAAAAAAATCTTGAACTCAATCTGATATTGCGCAAAACGTCCAAATGTCCACTAAAATGGAAGTAAGAGAGAATGAGACTTTTAATATAGAAAGACAAAATAAATTAAATTCTAATACAATATCTATTGAGGGCAGTTCTCTATCTCGAAGAAATAACTTGAATCCTGAAACGAAGTCCTATTATTTTGTCCTTACATAATATCCCGCTTCTTAAGGTAATTCTAGTTGTTTATCAGAATATTCAAACTCAGACGTTCTTTGGCATTCAGAGTGGCGTGCAGGCTACAGGGTTAGATGGTGTTCGAAACAACATTAAAATAATTTCTCTCTTATTTTTCATTTCATTTAGCGCTTGATATTCTTTACCAAGAGAATAATTGTTAGGGTTTCAAGTTGATATGGTCACATGAAGACCTCTTTCTGCTTTCTTTTTAAAAAAGGTTATGAACTGTACTTAAACTGGCTCAACAAAATATGAATTGGGGAAATTAGTACTGCCGACAGCCACTGACATCTTCTTGTTCAACCAGAGTTGTAAATAAACTTCTCAATTGAAACTGGTTTTGTATTTGTCATCCTTTTGACACATCTATATCACATAGCTTGAATGGCTTAATCATCCATACAACAATCTTCAAATTGATTAGCTCACCAAACGGAGTCAGTGTGCCAATTCTTAGTGCATGTAATTTACCTTCAAGTGTCTCTATGTCAGCAGTTTCAAGTTTGTCTTTGAGAAAACTTTTAGGAATTGACTGATTTTTTTTCCTGGAAGACATTTTGCCTGAGGAAAACTATTTTGTTGATAAATGCAGAGAACATTTTTGCAATCAGTGTCACTATCTTACTTGAAGTTTAATCTCATTAAATATTCCAACTGAGTAAAAACCATCTTTTTTTCACGCTTCATAATTTACTGCAGACAACAAATTTATTTCAGTACAGTAGAACTCTGAATACCCATTTGAATAATTCCACAAAACATGTCAAGCAATTGCCTTTAAAAACCCATTAACATCCTCATAAAATCACCAGTGAACAAATTGCTCACTGTTATCTTCTCAGAGCTGTTGGAACAATAGTTCATTCTTGGAATTGGTTTTGTTCTTATTTATTGCATTCAGCAACAATATTTAGTGTGTCATATAAACTTAAACTTAAATACTTGGTAAAGAGATGAATTACAAGTGAATGAAAAATATGTTGGAACGCTTTTCTTCAAAAATGCCATACTATTATTGTTGCAATACATCTATCAGTATGTAGGGGGGGGCAATATACATATATGTGTTTTTGTTTTTTTTAATGCACATTTTAAAATGTTTTGTTTAGGGTTTTTTTGTCTTTCTAAAAAAAAATTAAGTTTTTTTCTTGTAAAGAATAAGCATTCTAGTATCCATTTCCATCAGCTGGCTAGTATTGATGGGAGTTGGAGAGATAGCTCAACGACACCAAGAGAGATCCATATCCATCCAAATTATTTTATTCCTGGCTCTACCCATTTTTTAATCTATCTCAATCTAATTTTCAGGGAAAGTTAAAACAAAGGAGGTTCCAGATAATAAGTCTTATAGAGTAATGAGATACCTTATACTTTCTTGCTGCAACCGACTTATTTGAACATATAAACCAGGGGTCTTCAAACTTGGCCCTTTTATGACTTGTGGGCTTCAACTCCAAGAATTCCTCAGCCAGGCACGCTGGCTGAGGAATTCTGGGAGTTGAAGTCCACAAGTCATAAAAGGGCCAGGTTTGAAGACCCCTGATATAAACCATAGTGGAACAAGCATGACAATAATAATGTTAACCTATTCTTTTCTATTCTTATAGTAGATTTATATTCCTCCATTTTTTCTTTTCTTTCTTTTTGCTTAACTGTTCACACCACACACAATCTGCTTATTATGTTGCTTCCTGAGATTTTATCATGTAGAGCTAAAATGTGTTAGGTATATTAAGGTCTTTCTTTTCTGATTAGGCTTGACAGCAGAAGATACTAACTTCCATTATTTTTGCAGGGCAGATCTATATTTGATGCTTTTTTAAAAAAAAATCATGACTCTTTTAAGCAAACGAGGAAAGAAAAAAAGTATTATTCTTATATATAGATCTAGTGATGTTATTGTACAACTCCTTGTTCCTATAAACTTGTTCCCCTTTTAGGAACAGAACCTGGCAATCTACTGACCATATAGTAGATTTACAACTGTTCATTTTACAACCATTTTTTTAGTGACCATTCAAAGTTACAACAGCACTGAAATAAGTGACTTATGACTCGTTTCACACTTACAACCGTTGCGGCATTCCCATGGTCACATGATCAAAATTCAGGTGCTTGGCAACTGGCATGTATTTATGACAGTTGCACTGTCCTGTGTGTCATGTTTTCACCATCTGTTACTTTCCCAGCTGGTTTCCGACAAGCAAAGTCAATGGGGGAAACCACAACTGAGCCCAAAATTTCTGTTGCTAAGCAAGAGTGTTGTTAAGTAGGTCTTGCCCCATTTTATGACTTTTCTTGCCACAGTTGTTAAGTTAATCACGGCATTGTTACGTTTGTAACATGGTTGTTAAGTGAATCTGGCTTCCCCATTAATTTGGTTTGTCAGAAAGGTGAATCGCCTGGCCTTGGGACACTGCAACCGTCATAAATACATGCCAGTTGCCAAGCATCTGAATTTTGATCAGATGACCACGGGGATGTTGCAGTGGTCATGAGCGTGAAAAACGTTCATAAGTCACTTTTTTTTTAATAATAATAATAATGATGATGATGATAAAGTTGGAAGGGACCTCGGAGGTCATCTAGTCCAACCTCCTGCTCAGGCAGGAAACCCTATACCATTTCGGACAAATGGCTGTCCAGTCTCTCCTTAAAAACTTCCAGTGTTGGAGCATTCACTGCTTCTGGAGGCAGGTTGTTCCACTGGTTAATTGTTCTAACTGTCAGGAAGTTTCTCCTTAGTTCTAGGTTGCTTCTCTCCTTGATTAGTTTCCATCCCTTGCTTCTCGTCCTGCCTTCAGGCGCCTTGGAGAATAGCTTGACTCCCTCTTCCCTGTGGCAGCCCCTGAGATATTGGAACACTGCTATCATGTCCCCCCTCGTCCTTCTCTTCATTAAACTAGACATACCCAATTCCAACAGCCGTTCCTTATATGTTTTAGTCTCCAGTCCCCTAATCCCCAAAATGTGAAATACTACTAGTTATAGGCATTAAATATGAAAACAGCAGGTTCCACTTAATATATTGATACAATTTACAAGTTTTAACCAAATATGCCAACCACCAAAAGATAACCTTAAAGATGAAATCAGAAATATCAAAGTTTGCTAAGCTGAATTCCATCGGAGAAGAACAAATTGCCAATGTCAGGATGAATATCCACATCGGCAAATAATAATTTGCATTAATTTCATTAACATGACGTCCCAGCAATAGTTCTATTTTTCTAACGATACTATAAATGGGTATGATGATATCCCATGAAAAATTGAGTTGCTATGAAATTTCACCTTTTTGTGTCCTCTTGTAACAACTGATAAAAACTAGCCATAACATGACATCATCTTGGACAATGTTTAGTTCTTTGCCTACTGCTCGAAGAGAATGAGGAAAGACTGCAATGACATGATATCACACATCCTTTTAAAATATTAGGGATTACAGGATAGAAATGTGAGAGAGACGTAGGTCCCATATTATACCTACAAAAAAGACTTTGCTATAGTCTTAATTAAAAAGTTGAGAAACCAGTGTATTTCTCATATTGGGGGGTGGGACTATAATTGCAATTCTAAATGGCCTTGGAAAAAATCCAAAACTTTTCACTTGGAAAAAAAATAGTTATTAAGAAGAGCTAACTTTCTATCTGTATATTAAACTATATATTACAAAGCAGTAACTTACACTATTGTCCAGGTAGTTTGTTGGCAAGTGCTTTTAATCACTTATTCAACTAATCAACCAGCTGTTTTTCCTGCCCTGAAACTCAAATATACACCCTTTTCTAATGTTGTTCCAAGCTTGTCTTTATCTCACTAATACGGGGCTGGAACCTGGCAAGGAAGGAAAGGATTTAGATGTGATAAAAAACAGCTAGCAGGTACAATGAAATGGTTCCTTTCCTCACGGTAAGGTATCTTTTTAGCCATGTTCTCTCTGTAGGAAAGGATGCTTGGCCACCATGCAACCTGTAAGTTGATCCTTAAATCACTGAACTTACTCTGCCAACCCAGCCAGTTTTACTTTCTTCAAGATGCTCCCTTTCCTGAAAAAAAGAGAAAGATTTTCATTGTTTTAATAACCGCTATCTGTTAATTAGCTCTTCTCTCTTTCAATGCCAATATTTACAGAATTTTCTGTACATTGATGCCTTTATTTAATTGATCGATTGATTCTCTACTTAGTTCCCAAGACTCAGGGAATTACAACACAGAAACAAAAACAGTAAGGACATAAAATCTACCCAAATAAATATTAGCAACCCAATTATCTTAAAATCTTAAAAACAGCATTGTAAAAGACAATCACCACCAAATGCCTGTTTTAAACAGAGTCATCAGTTTTGCATGCATGGACCATTAGTTACAAGAAGAAGGCAATTCCTTCAGTAGACAGGAAAAAGCTATGTATGGTTTTTAAAGTTGAAACTAACACTCTGAATTCAACTCAGAAATCTATTCGTATCCAATGAAGCAACTAGTGAATCAGGGTTATGGCAGGGCTTACCTGCTAATATCCTGGCCACTACCAATCACAGTTTCCAAGCTATATTCAAAAACAGGCCCATGCAGAGCATGTCTAGGGGATGAGGATGAGAGTCTCTGCTGTCAGGGCTTCATGGTCCAGGTAAGGCTACACTGGCAACCAGCCTAGGTTGCTGATTACTGTGGAAATCTGCCTCTAGAAGAGAATATTTGTAGCTCAGGGCTGAACTGTGGGGTTCTTGATGCTTTCTGAGCTTGGTTGTTTTCTTGCAGGTATTTCACTAGTAGGTATCATCAGGTAGTAACCGTGATTATATTAGCTAGTTGGGTAATGAAACATCTGCAAGAAAACAATGAAGCTCAGAGAGCACTAAGGACCCCTCAAATCTGCCTCTCCCATTCCTAAATCACACAATGTTTCCCCAAGCATCCCTCCACCAACTCCATTATTTATCCCATCTACCAAGCCTTGCCCACTAACAACCAGAAGGATGCCATGGTCTGCTTGCACTGTTGAAGCAATCTTCACCCTTCAACCTCTACAATCCATCTCCACTGTACCTTTGGGCAGTGCCATGCGCTGCTATAGTCACAGATGGTGAGCACAGAAAAGTTTTGAATCCTTCTCAGCCACTGCACGCAAATTCTTTCATCAGTCACCCACGTTACAGCACTCAAGTAGTGGTCCCTGGAGGTTAAAAACAAAGAGACTGCTCATCATCTGTCTGTATAGGTTCACTTGAATTCTATACCTAAATGTTTATCATTTATATGCCATTCAACGTTCAACATGCTATTACTGTTACAATATGTATTATACAGGTAGTCCTCGACTTGCAGTAGTTCATTTAGTGACCCTTCCAAGTTACAACAGCACAGAAAAAAGTGACATGACCATTTTTCACACTTATGACTGTTGCAAAATCCCCATAGTCACCTAATCAAAATTCAGATGCTTGGCAATTGTTTCATATTTATGACGACTGCAGTGTCCTGGGGACGGGTGATCAGCTCTTGCGATCTTCTGACAAGCAACGCCAATGGGGAAGCCAGATTCATTTAACAACTGTGTTACTAACTTAACACCTGCAGTGATTCATTTAACCACTGCGGTAAGAAAGGTAGTAAAATGGGGCAAAGCTCACTTAACAAATATTTCACTTAGCGACATAATTTTTGGGCTTAATTGTGGTCGTAACCTGAGGACTACCTGTACAAATAAAATTCAAATTTTAGTTCTATAGAATAGAACTGTACTACAGATTTTGGAAACATTCCATGACTAGAAACGGAGGATCACAGGCTAGAACAAGATAAGATAAAGAATATAAACTAAGAACTAATGCCACGAATCACAGAATATAAAAGATGGAAGTGTGTCTTGGAAAACTGAGATTTATCTGCAAATAATTCTTTTGACTTCTTTCAGCCTAGCTAATAGACACGAAGGGTCCTCCCTCTCTTCCTGTGCACGTGTACATGTATGTGTGTATGTATATGAGAAAGAGAGAGTATGTTTATTTTAGTATTTGTATATGTGTCTCTGTGTTTGCAGAATACCTTTAAATATAGAAGCTGATGTGGCTCATCCTGGCTTATGTAGAGTTCTGACATTGCCTATAATATCCTTTATATTTTACAACACCAAATATGCACATACCCAAATTATGTTACTACGATATAAAAAAAGTTTTACAGTGTTTTAGTTTGGGCAATTATATGTATATCCTACTATTTGCAACCCAGAATCTTCTTGGAGTTGGGCAGTTTTAATAAATATGATTAAAAAAAAGAATGACTGATCCAGCTGAATATATATTGAAAAAAAGTCAAGTATTAATAAATTACAGAATCCACAGGATTTTTAATGCAATAAATGAATGTTTTTTAAAATCTTATATTATTATTCAATAATTATAAAATAATAACAATAATAATCTACAACACTCACCAGAACAAAGCATATTACTTGGACTTACCCTGATATTATACTAGATGGTGCAACAATTTCCGAGATATTTTTTAAGGAAAGGGATAGAATATCCAAAACAAATAGTCTTATTGTTGGATTTCTAGCACCTGCCTGGATAAAATTAAAACATCGTAAAACAGATTCTGTCCAAATGGCAATGTTAATTAGAAAATTACAAAGTAATTAGCTTTTAAAGCTCAACATGAAATATGAGAAAATTATGTATATATAGTTTTAAAAAAATAATTTGTGTTTTATAGAGGTTCATTGCTAAAAAATCTGAAAGCTATACTAAAGATTTAGTTCAATACATATAAAAATAATGTAATTTTTCTATGTCTGTAAAAACAGTCAGTTCAGGAGATGTTATGATCACTGACATTTAGTGAACAGTTATTCTTTTAGAGATCAGTGTAACTCCTCATCACATGACTTAGTAAACATTTCTATTATAGAAGACAATTTTCTATTTTCTAGTAAGACTAAAAACACACATGGTCCTCTGAAGATGCTGCACAATTATCTTCTTAATCATCCTCCTCAAAAAGGATATTGGGCAAAAATTGTCCAGTGTTGATCGGTTCCGTAAGGGGTAAAGGGACAACCCCCTCACTCAAAGAAAAATTCACCACTATTAGGATCACTCACATGGCATATCCCAGGAGAGGCACAGATCTAAAAAGGCTTAGCTCATGCCCGTGTCAACTTTCTGATGACTAGCAGGTTCCAACCATTCCCAGATAACTGGGCAAGATTCACCCTAGGCATTTCCTCTGGACCTGCAAGAAGGCTAGCGTCAAACTGCAAGTGAATCTAAGATGGTGAGCAAATTCCTTCACCCATCCCTGCCAAAGTTTCCTTGCGCCCCCGTACACAAGAGGTAACCAGGGGATGAAATAGGGCTGCAGGTGGCAATCTGCAGATGCATTAAGAGTGTAAAAATACTGCTGCTTTGCCACCTTACTGCCACACGATAGCCCTTAATAGTGGCTCTAGCCCATGTTCAGTCAAGTTCATACTTTGTTGAGTGTAGTGTCACTCTAGATGTTTCCTCTCCCATTTCATCTCCCTCAACTTCTCTGTAAAATACAGGGAATGCAATCCAAACCAAAGTCTCAGCTGCCCCCTTATTCGAAGCAACAACCAAGATTTCAGATCAACCATCCAGCAGACCAGGAGGGACAACTCTAGGCTCCCTCTGAAACTTCTCCAGCTCCATCAGTTGCCGGGGGGGGGGGGAACCAATGTAATAAGTCCAGACTCCTTGCAGTGGATAGCGGCACCAGAGAGTCTTATGATAATTAGGTCATGATCTGACCATGACAAGGGGGACACCAACAGCTCTGTTTGTACTTTCTATTGAAAAGTATGTTGTGTCCCCAAATCTAATTGAAGCACTGATCAGGGGAATGATTAATCATCTTCCTCCTACATTAAAATTCAATGAAAATTCCTTTCAGAACTACTCTTGATCTTTGATCAACAACTGTTCCCTCTTGGAACAAACCATAGCTTTAATCTTGATGATGGAAGCAATCTCATCAGGACCAAGTGAATCAATCACAAGCATGCATAGAAACTAATTTAATTTTGGCCTGTAACAATGTTATTGACTTTCTGGCTTCCAGAAATAACTTTACGATATGTCAAACATTTTCAGTTACATGATTCTGAGAAATAAAGAGAGCAACATATGTCCAGATTCATGCCCCATTAGGGATTTTAAGAAATTCCATCAAAGATTCTGCTGAAAGTGAACATGGGTGACCTACTTCAGAAGTCCCATGCCAAGGAGACTGACAGCAGGAAGCCATTACTATTCATTCTACTCCAGAAAAGAAGTTACATTTACTTTCTAAAATGCATGACAAGCTGGGACATTTTTCCCACTTTGCTGAAGCACTGAAAATCCTACCACGCTTAAAAAATTACTACACTCTCTATATTGAGGCTTCTTCCCCATCACTTCCTGGACTAGCTATGGAATATTACAGCCATGTGAACAGTCTATGGAGCATCAGAAAAAACAGCCTCTGGAAAGACCCTGGAAGTATTGAGAACATATCAGTTTCTAAAGTTTGACAACACTAAAACCAAGTATAGATCCACTGCACACATTTTTTTTTTAAAAAAAACCAGAACAATTCACTTCTGCCCTGGCAAATATATCAGCCTGGAAATCTGTCCTCCAAAACAGAAATGAATGTAAGCTAGCCCACTCATCCCTTTTCATGGAAGAGCTAATAGTCCTTAGTCCCTTATTTGCCATGCAACTCGTGAGCTGAAGTGTTCCTTTTTCCATTGATCATCTAAGTGCTCTTCAACAAATCATTTTAGAAACTTAAATATTCCACAGCCTTCAACTGCTTTCATTTCCTGTTTCCCTAGAGATAATACAATACTTCAGAGCTGCCAGATGCTATTGACTTAAGTCACAGTAATCACAGCAAGCTGTTGAGGAGAGACAGACAATATTTTTGTTAACAGCAAATGATTAAATGTGACTATTCTCTTAATCAAACCACTCAACAACTATGTTTAATAAATAACACAGACCTTAGGATATGGGATTTTAATGGTCTTTGGATATTGCAGTGTATCTTCTGAATAAAACGAATACTCCATAACAGGAACCTCCGTGTCATTAATCTCTGCAAACGCCAAAAAACTGCCATTTGGAGACCACCACAGAGCAGAATGAGTGCCAAACATTTCCTCTGAAAAAGATGCAAATGTGTTCTTTTGAAGCAATAGTTGCTAAGATGGCTTTTTCCTCTGAAACATTGTTCATAATAACTTGTAAGTATAATTTCAGATGGAACTTCAGTTCCTGAAATTCAGCTTACTTGCAATGTTTTGCAACCAAAACAGTAAGTCAACTCTCAGAAATGCCTTTTTATAGAAATATGGCGCTATAGAAATATTCTGTTATAAAAAATCTGGCTTTAATAATGATGCAAATTCCAGTATTTTGATTTATCTTAGATTTCAATATTATGGATAATTGTTTCTTGTTTATACTATAACATTTTCAAATGTATCGTCTATAATGAACAATAATTAAATGCAAAGAAACATAACTTTCCAATTATGTACCCAAACTTAATATTCATCTGGAAGAAAATATACAAGTACAAATTAAACATTCACTGAATATTTTATGTCCCAAAAATGCACTTTAATAAGTGCAATTACTATGGGCGATTTGAGGTGCATTTGAGATGATAATAAAAATATAAATGTTGAAGAGTTCCCACTTTCTTTATGAAGAGAAGTATGTTCATACAGCATGCCCTGGAAATTTAAATAAAAAAGGGGTAATCATCTGGCGGCAATACAAAAAGAACACAAGCTCTGATTTCTATGGTACTTATATCATAGGGGCAGTATTGGGGTTTTCTTATATTTCCCCTCCTGGACAATTGTGGGGAGAACATTAAATCAAGCCAGATAAAGCTCTCCTGAATTTAGGAACTGGGATATAAGTTTAGGCACTAAACTTTGTTTATCTGCAATTATATTAGGAGAGAAAGCAGCAATTTCTACATGACCTTCTATATCTAAGATCCTTTGCCTTCGTATGGATCTAACCTGATCTAACTCTTAAGGTTAAGATGGCATCACTGGAGAAATCATAGTGGCTCAGTTTCTTTGGGACTGCTGTTTCCCAGGAAGGTTTGTAGTTGTCTGCCGATATTACATGGGTCAATCCACTAGGGTTGTGGTGTAGTTTTAAGCAGTAGATAAAGATATTGATCAGAGAATAGATTCAAGTTTACTGACTCCTATTTCTCACTGAAGTACTGATTTGGAATACAGCAGGTAACCTGGAAGATACTTAGAAATTTTGTTTGAATCCTTTCTGTGGTGATCATGCTATTTGGTCCTATTTGAGCCCTGTATAGCAACTGTGCTTGGACTATAGCTAAAAACAACTTAATTGCAGCAGAGGAACTTGCTCCTCTGGAAAAATAATAAGTTTGTAAACTGAGGCAGATCTCTGTTCACTGTGGGATACATA